TTTTTCCAATCGCGTCGTTCCATATTTCAGCGTCTGCTCCGAAATGCGCATTAAAATAGCCTCTGAGCATGAGGGACTCTATATTTGGCACGTGGGACAGAGCACACTGCACTTACTCAAGGAAAGTCTCATATTCTCCCTCCAAACCGGCGCATAGACCTGTACGAAGGTCAACACTTTAGCCTGTTGTAGCATCAGTCGGAGGAATACCATCCTTTCGGGGACAAGTTTCCATTCAGTGATTCTGTCAGCAAGGTTGGTTTCCACCAGAACACCAACGCCGCGAATAGTGCGGCTTCCACCTACAGAGGATCAGAATTCTATGGGTTTAGCTTTTCGTTGACGATAATGCTCCCATGAGGAGGTGGTATCTTGTGGCCTGATCAACTAGCTTCTGGTTTTTCTTTGTGAGCGCGGATATTTTTTAATTTTCGACTGTGAGTTCGTTCCCGTTGAGTTTTCCCTGAAGTGCTAAAGGGTCACTGCACCGTCTGTCCCCTCCGTTCACGGCAGATAGCGAACCCGTCGGTGATTGGTATTTTCGTCGATATTCAGCAGCCGTTGTGCTATTGCCGCGGCTCCGGCTGAGAGGAAACGATGAGCGAGTTTTGATCGCTGACGCTTCGCAATCTGTCTCAATCGGTCAACAGTCTGCGCAGCCCTTGATAACCATAGCGGAAAAATGTTCGATGTCGGAAATGGTATGATATGCAGGTGGCCAAGTTTTAGGCGACTTCGTCACGATCTCCAACCCTCCACGTTTCTCATCCGGGCTTGGAACCAGCAGCGGTGGAGTTTAAACCATAGAATTTGTCACTGTTAGCCTATTTGCAACAATTATGAGACAAAGAGTAAACCCTACTTAATTCTACTGTATCATAAAAATTCAAGTTAAAAGTTCCAACTTTTCCTTAACACTAAATATGATGTTTTTGTCATGTATACAAGGTCTAATAAACTTAATGCATTATTAAATAATTCTGAGAGTAATGACTCTCAAGGCCAGGTTTACAAATTACAATGTAACAACAGAAGATATTCTATAGGAGATACATGGAACACCGTCATTCAGACAGCAAAGACCCACCTGTCAAGCTTGAGAAGAGAGATGATTGCGGAGGGCGTGAGCGACAAGTTCTAACGAAACCTCTAGAAGTTCCAGAAAGAAAACAGAGCCTCGTCTCCGGCAAAGTAAAGGAACAATGAGAGAAGACCTCCGGACTGTGCAACATGCCGCCAAGCACGGACATGCCCCCCCCCATCATCGAAGCTTAGAGTTTTCGTTAAATAGAAACGTTGGCTACACATGCTGATGAAGGAGGCATTAATCCTGTGAAAAGGTCAGCCATGACAAAGGATACGAGCTCTGCGCGGATTAAATAATCCTCGTTGCCCATGTCGACTAAAATCTATTGAACTAACAGGATTGTTGCGGACGACCAACCGCATTCATGCAACGTCACAACCAAACTACCTTACATAAATCCCGTGAGACACGGGCAAAACGCTGGCATTAGTCAGCCACCGGATTGACTAGAGTATATTTTGTGTCGTGTATAAGTAAACCGTGCATTATGCTATTTTTTAAACAACTACAGTTAACTGATCCATCTTCATCATTACCGAGGATCATCATTGCTTGGTCTCAATGCCAACATTTGCTCATCTGGTGAGATTTGTCGCCACAAACTTCCGTGCATTTCGTTTAGCTCATCCGTCATCTAAACCGCGGATTTTTAGATGGACGCCTACAGCCTCTTGGATACCAGTGCATAAATGCCAAGATCCGTAGGTAATTCATCAGTCGTACAATTCGACTCTCTCATAACTGTTTCTTTCTTGGGAGACTGAAGCTTCGTCCCTCTCTCCCACGCGTCGTCTAATTCGTTCATTTCCTAGTTTATACCAGAAGGGATTCCCCATATCTCGCCGTTGAACCGTCAACAGTTCTTCAACATTTTTATTAATGCCTGAGTCTTACAGCCATGTAAAGCAATTGTCAGTACTGTAGTTTCAAACAATATGGTTCTAATTGCGATCATACTGCGGTTTTTTCTTAATGTAATCAACGCGAGCTGTGGAGTGATATGATACGGTGAGCTTTTCAAAGTAGACATATGGAGGAATTTGTTCCATTCCGCAATCATTCATGTTAACTGTAGCTGGTTGTAATATATCATTTCTGATCATTTTCGTCTTCATCATGTTTATAAGAACTTCAAGTTGCTTGCTATTTAACTTTGGTTCACATCGAATGGCTTCAACCTCTTTCACCTTCGGCTGCAACGGCACGATGTCGTCAGCAAATCTAAAATGAGTGAACTGCCTGGCGTTAATTGGCAATCCTCAATCAAATTTCATGTTGTGGAATACCAACTCATAGCATGCGACAAACAACCTGGCCGATATGATGTCTCCTTAACGAACTGCATTCGAAACCTTAATTTCAAATGGATTTGCAAACAGATGAATAAACATGATTTGCGCCCATGTACTGCAGGTCTCAACAGATCATAGAGCCGTTGCCTCATTAAACGGTCCCTTAGGCTACTAAAAGCAAGAGGACGATGAGCTACGCCGTGTAAATTCAGGAAATGGCTTGTGAAACATGACTCTTTAAAAAGCGATTTGAGCGAGGCAAACTCCCATCTAAGATCAAACTGTGAACACGGAGAAATGCATGTTTTTCTTCTAATGCGTAGCTTATGATTGATGAATGTTCTAGCGGAACCTACCGATGAGCAGATAGACATTTGTAGAACAAGAACTTGCATTCAATGTGGTTCGTGTTTCTATTTTAGGCAGAAACACGAACTGCTGGAACATTTTAGACAGTTGTTACGTTCATAGAGAGGCAACAAAGATTTAATATGGAAGTAAGAAGCACTTGACTGAATTTAACAGGGTTAGCTGAAGGATCAACTCAACCAGCAAAATTGAAGCTGAAGATCAGTTAAATGATGTTCAATACTGTAATATAATCCATTTATATTCTTCCCTGACTGTGTTACGGTTTGCACGGCAACGAAAATGTCAAATGCATTTCTGTCATTGTTTGATACGTCAGTCCGTAGATCGAAGTCTAGTAGTTAACTTATTATCAGGGAACGGTGTCCAAAAGAGCTCAGCTGTCACAACTGTGATTACATGAGAGGTTGTACATCGAAAAAACATATAGATCCTTCAAAGTAAGAAATATGGTACACGAAGTAACGATAAGGACATGCCACCCAAGATGTCTTAGTATTGCTAGAAACTCATTAGAACGCAGGGATGGACAATTTGATTGGTAAACACGATTCGTTGGGTGTGAACTTGACAAGCATAAGCTCATTATTAAAGAGTCCTAGCACATTACGTGTAATCATGGAAGAATGTTCAAGAATGATGCATGTTCTCGGGCATCCGCATAGCTCGAGATATCTAATATGATTTAACGTCAACCTCCAACTCCTATAAATTAATCTGTCTTCACTATTTTCTCCTCTATTCCTGCATTTTATACATTTACGACATCTTGTCTTGTGCTCTTCTCAGAATAACTAGTAAAAGGCATGCCGGACTGGATTTTACCGAAATATTTCCCTTATTCCCCGGCTTCAAAACTGAAGCACCCGATAGCCAGAACCTGCATTCGAACAGTTGGTACAGTACTATAATCGGCACAGTGCTTCTTCAAGCACAAATTAGTTACACGAATTTCAATTAGGTTATGCACTTGTCACCATTACAGCTAATCATGCCCTAATAAATATAATAAAAGTGTAGCTGTGCTTGTAGACGACATAACGTATGTTGTACTCCGCTGACACAAAGTTTACGATAAATTCTGTTACAGGCATCCAAAGAAGCTCAATGTCATCCCATTTAAAATACTTCTTTCAACAAAAATTATTTATACGTGTTTCATAACGTCACCCTAAAAAGTCCCAATATAATTGGTACGTCATCTAAAAAAAACTGTGCTAGTTTTTCATTAAACAACCGAAATGTGTGCAACACATTTTCAAGGGGAAAAGCTGCTCTTTTGTCACAGTTACTGCAGTCCACATTTAGTGAATCTCTGAAAAATTACTATAGCTCAGGCTAAAACAAGATTTGTACTAAACAGTGGTTATATCAAGTTACATAAAGAAAGGGGAACATGAAGAAATTGATTAAATTCAGGTTTTCACCAAATGCGGAATAGTTAAGCGAGATCATTTGTAGTTAATGACAGCAGCGCACATAATCCTAGTTTAAAGCTGTGCACTAAATCAGTATATAGTTGTTCCTATGATTCTGACCATAAGTTGTGTCTCCACAGCATTCTAGGCTTATGTAGCAGAATGAAATGTACAAATGGCCAACTTTTCAGACGAAGAATCAGAACAATGTCACCGAACTACTGAACCTGTCAGAAGCTGAAACAACTCTTAAATAGTGTCTTGAATCCGGTTAAACATTTGAAAACCTAAGCTCAGAAAGCAAAATATCAGACTAATCTACCTTTAGCGCAACCGTTCGCCAACCAATTCATCCGATGACAGTTTTGATGGAGGCAAAGGTCCATCTTCCTCCACACCCCGATGATGACACCTACACATGATAACTCCCAAACTTAGTGTAGACAGCTTCATTATTGAATGCACTAGCATAAAACATTAAGATGAATGCTTCCACAGTTGGTTCTTACTCGCATAAACCAATCAAATTTTTCTCAGATGCCGAAGGGTAAGGCAACTGTTAAGAAGTACTTTTCAAGTTCCAAGAATCTTATATTGCGGTTATCTTAGTCCCGAGTTGAGTAGATCAGTACTTCACAAAGATTAGAAGCGATTATTCGGAAAAGGCTAGAGCTGTCCGATTACGTTCGTTCGTCTGGCCGGTTGCACATTATTGATACCATTGGTCGTGTCTCGTGATCGCTTGTTTAACTGACAGCATGATTTGAAATTTTATTAAATTCTGGTAGTTTACATGACTATTGAAACAATGAACGTTCTAGGTTTAGCCCAGATATGAATACTGACAATGCTGTAAGGGTGTTCGAACGTAATTGTAACAGCAGTGTACTAAGCGATCATAGCAAGTCGTGTTTATAAGTAATTATCGATCAGATGAGTGCGTTCGCAGCTAACAACCGCTTGCTCCGAAACCGCAGTCTGTAGAATGAAATGAAATATAGCGTATGCTGCTGCATTTCCTCACATCGTCCGTCCATTTGTTACTGTCGTCGAATTGTTTGTGCTGTCGAAATCGATCGAGACAAAAGGGGCAAAAGAAATGACCTTGTTGGTGTTGGTATTTTTGAGTCAACGGCTGTGACAGCGTAGCGCCAAACGCCCTCTGTGAGGTTGTTGAGACGATGAGCGATTTTCCTCGCCAAGCAATACACCGGCGGCGTTCTGGTCTGGGAACGCGACCTGCCACGCGCCTCTTGTTGTCCAGTTTGATCTCGCTAAAGGTCGTGCATCGTTCTAGGTCAACGTGGACATTATTTTTCTGTCGAATTCCATCGCCTTTGACGAATTGTCAGCAGAAGTGATTTCGCCCACCGGAGAACCAGTTGATCATGCACTTGGCAAAACGGACGACGGAGCGACGATCTGTTTCGTCGCAAAATGCTGTGGAACGTACCACGTAAGTAGCCTCTGTGTCGTACGGAATCGATACATAGAAAATGTGTCGCACCAGTAAGGTCACTTGTCGTGTGGCGCTGACAGCGACGCTTCGAGGTCGTGTTGCTGCGACCGACCGCGATGACCACTGAGACATCGACCTGTCCAGCTAGGCACATAACACGTCTGCCGGCCACCATTAGACTGGTCGTGCTCGTGCTCGTGGTCGTGGTTACGGTTACGGTTACGGATACGATCGCCAGTCGTTGTCCACCCCTCCGCCTCGACGGTGTGTCCAGCGATCGCCGCAATCTGCCTGCTATTGGCTAAGTGAACATTCTTTCGGCGACAGTTGAACTAGTTTATGACGGCGCTCCTTGGACTCACCGACGACACTGTACGAAAGTAAAACGCGCGGCGCGGCGCTTGGTGTGCGCTACAGCAATCTCTCGTTTTATGTTAGCTAGGCGGAGTGAAACGCGAACTCGATCTTCGGTCATCGTTCTTCGTTCTTCATTATTCGATCTTCGGTCTTCGTTCTTCGTTATTCGGTCTTCGTTCTTCGTTCCTCGTTCCTCGTTCCTCGTTCGTACCTCATCCGTCCGTCAACCGACTCACGGCTCGCAACACGCCACACGCAACACGTTCGCTGTCCGCAGCTGACGTCGGTCACGCCTTTTACTGAGGTGCACTTCTGACTGGTGAGTAACTTCTGCTGTGTGTCTGCACTGCCGTTCTTGTGTACTAGTGAAATGCCTGCACTCTGTGCGACGAGCCAACCGTTGAACCTGCTACCACATTCGGTTGCTAACATTCTTGAAGAAATTGTTTCGAATATCGATTCGGTTCC